ATATATATATATACTCATGGAATTATTTCAGGACGATTTCCTCAGGCACCTTAATGTTGTAAGATTGTTACGCTTAGCTAAATTACCAAACGTGATAAGATTCCTCTTTAAGATTTGCTATCCCTGCCATTAGTAACGGATCCTTGTCATTTGCACGATGCTGCTATGGCTAAATGTTGTAGTTGGGTACTAGTCATACTAGACATATCATACTAGAAAACTTAATATTTGAGCTAATCCAAAATTTGGGTTTATGATGATGAATTATATACTTATTTTTTGCAATCATTAAATATAGATTAGAAGTACTAAGAATACGAAAAGAATGATCGGTTAAAGCGGGGAATGTTAAAAGATATAGAAAATTGAGAAAAAATAAATAAGAGAGAGAATTATGATACATACAGCGAAATTCAACATAAAACAGAGACTGAGTATTTCTAAACAAAGAACAAGAAGTGGGAAAGGAAAGAGAGACTCTTTGACAAGTTAAATACGCACACATGTCCCGTAAAATAATCATGTATAGACTTTCTTCAGTTCGAAGTAATCCCTTCAGACAAACCCTTCCCCGTACTTGTCTCATAATTTCTTTCAAATAAAATAAAAACAAATATAAAATGCAGGATGGAGGACACAATTACAAATTGCAAGTAATATTAACAAATATATATGTAGCTAATCAACCAAGCTTTTTTTAACAAATTAAAAATAATACTTTAATTGTTGACAATTAAGTTAATTATTGTCATGTCCTTGTTGTGCATTTAATCCGAACATACTTAATAAATTTGAATTTAGGAAACAATTGCTATAATATTGTAATGTGTTTAAATTCATTTTTACGATTATTATTCTTTGTAATTAATGAATTATTAATCCTATTTAAAGTAATAATCGTAGTTAACAATTATTAATCTAAATAATAATGAATTGAATGATAATATCGTTAAATAATTGTGCTTAAAATAAGAACTTTTTGATATCTAACAAGAGTAATAATAAATAGAGTTTTATTTAATATTTTAAATGAGAGAAAGAAGAAAGATGAATTGTAGAAATCCTGTGAAAGAAAAGATAAAAGTAAGACAAAATTTTCTAAAAAATTTTGATTAGTTTAGTGAATATAGGTATTAGAAAAATAACGAAAGGAGACAATTCATCTGAACGAATCGTTTATTTATTTTGAACAATTGCATTCGTTCGCACTTTTATTCGACATTCTTAAATTTAAAATTAGCGAGAGAGAAGGAGGAACGGGAATGATAACAAATTATTTTAATCAATTTGGGAAATATATTTTATAATAATAATAATGAAAGAAAATAATCCACTTTTATGTAGAATAAATTATTGATTTATTTTTTGAATGATTTTTTTAAAGAGAATGTGATCCGTCCGATATGTATTTGAATTTTGTAGGCGAAGAGAAAAGAAAGAACGGGAATGTATAATTGCAGAAAGAGGAGGAACGGGAAATAAAAGTATAACATTTTTTTATCAATTACACATATTCATAGTGATCGTACGAAATGTAAAAAAATTGACCGCGAAAATTTCTCGGATTTGAAATATGTATTTTAAAAGTTTCCATATAATATACTTCGCGCTACGCGCAGGTGATTGTATATCTCTCACGCACATCACGTGACTAAAGAAATACTGATCGGTATGACTATACCATGCATGCGACGTTACTTATCGCAACTAGGTTGGGATGCGATCGAGACTTAATCGGGACTGCGACGATATGTATAAATAGACTGAGATAATCCGTTCGCCGAGCAAAGCCGGAAGTTGGCGATTTAAAACTGAGAGAGATACAATTTGCGGAGCTTTATTTGTCCTGTTCTATCTTTTACTGCAAAATGTCATGTCGATGTTGATTCAAAATTAATAGAGACATAAATACACTTAATTTGGAATTGATAATTGTAGTGTCTAATATTGGATTCCATTTAAAATGTCTACATCTTTGCGAAACTTTGTTTTCAAACGAACTAAGAGTTAATTATCACAGTTATAGCGGATATTATTGTTATCTGCCGTCAAACTGCCATTTACCCCTCTCCCCGCCTTTCTTCTTTTCCATTTATTTCTGATAAACGTGCGGACACGCAACAGGGTTGCACCGTACTGTTTGTTGTTGTGTGATAACGAGAAATGATTAACTAGGAGGAAAACGTGACGCACGACTTATTTTTATTCGCTTCACTTGGAATATTGAAATTTATCCCCATATCAAGGAGAAATGGTTGAATGCATCGAATGTCTCGCGTGTTTTTTTATGTCTCACGCCGTGAAATGAGGAGGCAAGGGAGAAGAGGTGACGAATTCGGTGATACCAGGGGTGCGCATGACGCTGGTTTTAATGAACTCTTTTGCTTGCTACCCTTAAAACCGCCGCTTTAATCAGTGCCTCTCAAATCGCGCCACTCTGTATTCATCATTCCCACTTCCGACAGTCAATATCCATGACCAATTAAGAAAAACAATTTCTAATAGTATACATTCTCTTAGTATACCTATCTTATTTCACATCTAAATCTTAAATTTTGTGTTAAATTTGAAATTTTATTGTATTTTTAATAGATTAAAAAAATTTATTTGATATTTTATATCCTAATCTGTAGTCGTGGTTTTATGTCACTCTGTTTATGATCTGTATACTTTCCACTTGTGTTTTGAGCGCCACTGTCACCTGGACAGGTTAGCGATGTCGAGGACGCAAAAGGTAGAGGGGTGAGAAAGAGGGAGAAGCGGGTGGTGACGAGGGCAGATCTGGTTCGCTTAGTGTGACGAGAATAGAGGCATGTTATTGATTATGGAAAAATACCCCCGGCTCAGAGCGCCGCGGGTAGTGAGGGGGAGGGTAGCTAGCAAGTGTGGTCGACACCTCCCTCGTCTTCTTCGAGCCGTGCCTTCTAGCGGGTGTCATGGCTAGTATGGCTACTATACACCCTGCAATCTCTCTATCATGTTCCTTCGTTTACTCTTTCTTCTTTTTCCTTCACCCATTGTTGCCCATTATCTCTTCGTCTGACGGTATGACGTCATAATAACGGAGCATCCTTGTCGGTACTCGTCTCTCGCGAGTATTAGCTAGACGATGCGTGCAGTTGATGCATCGGTGCATTTCCTTACGTCACGGGAATGCTTTCGATATGGAGAGAATGATACTATTTAAAACGATACTATTTAAAATGCTTTATATACTTATGACTCGCTCGTGATGAGCTTTTAGCACGCCACTAAAAAAATTGTCATATTTACAATCAATAGAGTAATAGCAAATTCAATTGGACGCACTCAGTGCGCACTGGTGCATATCAAAACTGCCGTATACAAATTGACGTAAAGGTGTGTTTAGTATAAATATAAAAAAATATAAATATATAAAAACAGGTTAAACAGGTGAAATCCTCAATACATTTTTGTACTATTAATTAAAATATGTATTTTATAATTGGAAATATTTGCATTTCATTTTTGCACTTAAATTAATCAATGTACAACGGCTTTAATATGCACCAGTGCGCATTGATGCGTTCAACCGAATTCGTTGTAAATTTAGCTTAGAATGGCCGACTTATGCTTCTAATCGATTGCATTTTCTTTGAATAAATTAGCATGGAATTAAAAAATCCGATTAATCGCTTGAAAACGAAGCAACTTTGAAAGATTTATGAACGGATGCCAAATACGGTAGAAACGTTTAGAATTTAACTGGAAAGATGGAGAGAAGGTAGGACTTCTCTAGAGGAAGACAATCTTCTCGCTCCTATTAATTAATCTCTCGTGATAAATGTTAAGCTGGCTGCCATCTTGAAAGATGCTAGATGTGCAACCAGCTGCGCGCCGTAATAGTAGTAGATATCGATGCATAAATTTCCACTAATTTTTCGTGGCAGTTCTTGTTTATTACGTATTAATTATTATAAGCAAAAAGAAATTAATCTCTCTAATCTCTAAACTAAAATCGATTTTCAATTTTGATAGTACATGTGACTTATTTTTGTTGTATTAGCGTAAATAAAAAATGATTCTGTCATTGACTTCTCTTCCAGATTATAACAATGCGAAATCCATTTTTTTTGTCACAGATGAAGTGGACGTGATTGGTTACACGAGCAATCAATCGGACACCGATGATCATAGTAGCGTACAGAGTAGTAGCGACAGCGGTGTCGCGATGTCCACCTCCAGACTGACTCTTTCCGAGATGATGGACAATCTTTAGGTACGTATATAGATTAAATAATTTACAATGAATTCGGTTGCTTGCATTCTATGCTGGTGCATGTCTCTAGAGTGCATCAGTGCAGAATAGTGTAAACAGCCGAGTTCGCTGTTTGGAATAAAAGTGCAGGGAAATTTTCTTTTGAGGGAGATCACATTATTAATTTAGATGAGTAAGTCGAGTATCCGAATTAAAATAAATTTTGTTTACAAACTTCATTGCATAAAAACAGAGAGCTATAGTTAATCGCGTTCTGATGAATAAAACACTGTATGCTAAATACGGGAATCCGTATTTAGTCCGTTACGAGTGTAACGGACGTAAATCACCAAAGGGATAAAAAGCGAAAGATAGGATGACAAAAGTCGAAGAAGACAAGGGTGGATGTTGATCACAAATAAATTCTCACATTGCTTCCTCTGCGCTATTTGCAGACAAAGAGGCGGTGCAATGCGATGGCGGCGAAAGAAGAAACGATTGAAGAAGGAAAAGGGAAAAGGACAGAGGATAGGAGATAGAGCGAAAGGAAGAAGATCCATCGGCGTACGAAAATTGACGGCGCGCGAAATATCGACTCATACACACATTACATATATACACATAAAATGCACATTTAAATTCGTACTCAATGCAACTTTGTCCTTCCAAAATGGCCTGACTGGCAAAGCAACGTTAAAGAAGAAGAAGAGAAGAAGAAAAAGAAAAAGAAGAAGTCTTTTGGATATCACTCGACTTGCGAAGATTTTCAAACAACGGAATAGATTTAAAAAATCAGATATGAAAGAGATGCAAGATATTTGGATTACCAAGACTCAAAAAACATCAATCGTGACGCAAAAAGAAGAAAACAGAAGAAACGAAGTTATCTTTGATATCATCTAGCCTATTACAAAGAAGAGAAAAAGTCTTCAATACTTTCATTGAACATTGCGAAGAAGAGATAAATAACTTGAAGAAAAAAGGGACTAACGAAAAACTAAAGACTAAAGAAAAAATGATCCACTTTAAGTTTATTATATGAAAACGAAGAACAGTTTGGGAATGGATTAAAACAAAAGGATGTATAAAATATAAATATTATCAGCTAAGAAGAACAACATATGGAAATATTGAGAAATCAATATGAAAATAACCGCTTTCAAAAAGTTATAAACGCAAACGAAAGATTTTACATTTTTCGAAATTGCAGTAAAGTCTGGTATATTATGCATTCAAATGAAAATAAATGGAAATAAAAGAAAAACAACGAGAAACAAGGAAGATGAAAGAAATGAAATAAAAGAAAAAAGTCAATCTAGACAAGAAGGCAAATAATTTAGGACAAAGATAGAGAGTTAAGAAGAAATGAAGAAAGTAAGAAGAGAAAAAAAATGGGAAAATTTGACAAACAAAAAACAAGCCACTTTTCAGAAAATTGATGTCGATGAAAAAGGAATAGAAGCATGAAAAATAAGAAAAAAAATGAGCAGAAAGGAAATCGCAAAAAAAAGGTAGCATGAACAACTAGAAGAGTGTGAAAAAGAAGATTATTGTAAATTATCGAGAATTGACGAAATCATAACAACATTGTATATATTTTTAAGAACATACAGATTTATTAAGACAGCGTGGATGTGCTGCAAGAGGAAAGAGCGAAAGGGAGGGAGAGAGAGAGAGAGAGAGAGAGAGAGAGAGAGAGAGAGAGAGAGAAAGAGAAAAGCAAAAAAGCTAAATGAAAAATGGAAGTTATGGTAATGTTAAGCAGAAGCTATGATGAAATTCTTCGTTCCGTTGCAGATTTAATCCTAAATTCTTAAAACAAATAAAATGAGACAGTAATTGATCATTTTGAGAATCTATTTGAAATACGCGCCTTTTTGGTTTAGCTTTACATTAACTGATAAAACTATAAAATTATTCTTAGAAATTGTTTTAAAAAATTTGATTTATTAATTAATTTTATTGTTTTAATACACAAATTTATATTCATAAATAATTCCTAATTTTTTAAAAAATTTCATTAAGTAAAATTTAAAATAAATTTTAGTTTTATAGAAAAGATTGAAATAGGATAAAATAGAATTTAAAAATAAAAATTTATTTTTAGATTAATAATATTTTTTAAAAATTGAATTAATTTAAAATTATTTTATGAAATAAATTTCTAAGATAAATTTATAGTTATATCAAAAATATAACTAAGAAAAATTTATCTTATAAAGATTATAAAATTATAAAATTAAAATCAATCAAGAAATTCGGAAGTATTTATCCGGAGCAATCCATCTAGTTTAAAATGATGAAATTATTAAAATAATTTGTAATATATAAAATAAATTATAATAAAAATATTTTATAAATTTATTCATAAAATTGTTTATTTAATTCAAAACTTAAAGATTATATGCAATATTTGGAATTTAACTATAATATGTTAAGATTATAAAATATGAAATTATTTTTATAGTATAAAATTATGTATAAAAATTAGAATTACTTAAAAAGATTGTATAAATTATTTCGATAACATACAAAATCATTTCTGATATTAAATCGCGAATTACTTTTATCAAATGTTATTTACATAATTATACAAACAATAAACAAACAAATAAACTTATGAAGTAAACTTATTAAATAAACAAACCCCGCGCCGTCATCATATTCGCAAAAGAAATTAAATCTTCATAAAACTAATTACTGCGTAACATAAAGAAATATGAAAAGGAAGAATGTTTAGAGAATGAAAAGACGGACAAAGATAGACAAACGGCTAATTTCTTGATAAATAATGAATTGCGATTAATTAATAGATAACAACGCAAATTCACACAGAACACAAAAGAACAGATATATACACATGCATGTTTACACATATAGTTAAGTAATTATGATTCTAATTAAGTGAGCAAGCAAAAAATATAAAAAACAAAGTATAAAAAGCAAAAAAAGTAACTGATAATTATATTATGGCGTAAATGACGTTTCATTATAAAAACACACACACACACACACACACACACACACACACACACACACACACACACACACAAATATAGAGTGTCCCATAGTTATATATGTAGAAATAAACAAAAAGTCTTAAGTGACTTCTCTCTTCAAAAAAACTTATTAAAAACAATAAATTTGTTTACAAAACTAAAAAATAAATATTGAAGAAATGCAAATTATGAGTATGCGATAAAAGTCAAGAAGAAGAAATTTTAAAATATAAAAGAGAAATTTTAAAATATAAAAGACTTTTAAAAAGTCACATGATATAAAAGAAATAATTAGTTGCGCAATAGAATAGTTAAAGAGAAGAATTGAAGAAATAGGGGACACTCTAATACATTGCACATACATTCGAAGAGTACAAATTCCACAAATCCCTCATTGGGTGTTCTCGGGGCTGTTATCATCTTTTTATGTGACGCGTTTTTCTTTTCACGATCTTGGACTATTCCTAGATCATAGATCATTCGTGAATGATCTATGAAGTGAACAATTAGATTGTGAATTGAAACCGATACAATTTCGCTGAGTTCGTATTTTGATCTAAAATATTATATGTAATTCTGTGAAATATGAAATTGTATGGTGCATTTTCTCAATTTTGGCAAGATGTTTTTGAAAATAATTTTTCTTATCTTTTTTATATTACAAAATGCTACTTAAGATATGATAAAAAAATGTAAATTGTTGGAAAATTTTATACTATTTCAATCTAAATATAACATGTACAAATATTATAAGAGATTGAACGTAACGAAATTATATCGGTTTCAATTTCTAATTCAAAACTGTATTGAAAATCAGAAACTTCTTGATTTAAAGGACAAAAATGAATAGGTCCTTTTGTAAAATTGGCATTGAGCGATAGTTTAATGAATAGACTGATTACCAAATATTAACGGATGATCTCTGAAGACCGACGCTAATTTGTAAGTTGAAGATAAACGTTTTTGAAGAGCATATGTATTGTGGAAAATGATCCGTTGCAAGATATGTGCTGTTAGTTAACCCTTTAACTTTTACTCCTACATAAAATACGCAAAATAGCCGGAAAATATATTGTTGAAAGGGCAATTTATAAAAAGTTTAAATGGAATGTCTCTTATTTATCTCATTACTTATTAATAAATTTCTTTATCAAACTAATAATAGGAAATCATTCATTGTTCATTCATTGTTTCAACTTTTAGTAACTGTTTTTAGAATGGAGATAATCGATATTGACAAAACCAAAATTTTTACAATACTAATAAAAAGAAGAAAAAATGTTTCAAATGATAGACGTTTTTTATCAAATATGATAAAATCATGATTCGTGTGAGATATCTACTTTGTGATTTTGTGAAAAAATATAAAAATCGATATCAGATTCTTTGTATGTACAGAAAACGCATATATTCTTTATTTTTTTTATTTTATTTGTATTATTTTCTTCTTTAGTCATTTTTTGATTTATTATTTTTTATATGTTTCTGTACGTTTCTTTTTCATTTTATTTAGTTTACTATGAATTTATTGCCGTCATATTATTGACACAGTATTATATTATTAATATAACATAATAAAAATTGATCGACTAAAATTTTAGTGATATTTAGTATTAAACACTGAAATCTTCGATAAGATAATTGAAATCTGGAAACTTTATTAATGTAAAATTAAAGAAATATGAAAATTATTTAGAAAATTAAGAGATTTTTTTATTAGACTTAAATGTTAAAAAAATTCTTAAATACTGTAAAAATGATTTAATTTTTTCCGTTTATTTCTTTATTCTTTATTCTATACAGTATTATATAATAAATAAATAGATATTAAAACATATAAAAATATATAAAACATATAAAAGTTATATAAAATTCAAATATCTTAGAATTAAAGAATAAAAATCGATATTTAATTGGATATTATGGAATTCTAGGATCTAAAAAAAAATTGAATGTTTCTATTGAAAATTTCAAATATTATAATAATATAAGCTATGATAATTTTTATCGTTAATATTAGGTACATTTTTGACATCGTAAATTTATTTAAATAATTTTAATTCTAATCTTTAATTCTATTTATATACAGACTTTTGAAATTTTGAAATTGAGCATAAATATTAGCATTAAATTGAACAATAAACTTCACGAAATATTAACAATTAAAATCGATTTAATTGAATATTATGGAAACATTTAAAATATTAACAAAGATTGCAAACATAATATTACAAAAGGATTTAATTTGTTTCACTTTTTTAAGCTGAATATAAGTTAAAGGGTTAACTGTTGGGGATAGTAGTTGGATTAATAAACAAAGAATGTAAGAAATACACAAATGCACCTTGATAAAAAAGAAAACGAAACAGCAGCCAATGAGAGAAAGATAGATGTCAAAAAATGAAATTGTAAAAATTTACAAGGTCAAATCCCGCCAGAAAAAAACGACCAAGCCGAGTGAAATATTTTCAGCGAGGCACACCGCGATTTTTAATATTAAATCGAATATTGATTGTTGTATCAACAATCGCCTATAGCTATATTGCAATCATATTGGTTGTTGCACGAATCTATCGCGGTGAATACATCACAATTATGAATGGCGGGCTTTGATCGCGGTAAATGTGTATGATCCTGCGTCTATCTTTCGGCATAAATTTGCAATTTTAATTTTAATTTTTTTTTAGATTGCATAAACATAGCTTTATATCAAAATTATTTTATATAGTATTTACTTTAATATGATTTGAAACATTTTCTTTAATATTCAATTTTATATTTTATGTTACTAAGTCTAATTCCTAGTTAATAGAAAGATTTATGTATATTAATCTTATTATATTTATCTATGGAATAATTAATTAATATTATTAATTTGAATTTTTTAATTTGCTTAAAAAACAAATAGCGTTGGCTGTTGTCACTGATTACCAATTAATACACAAAAATAACTCGAAATAGAAGTGACACCGTTGATCTTCGTACGCCAGACAACAATAAGTCTTTGATTAAAATAAAAAAAATGCGCGTAGGACAAACGAGGGAACCATTAAGAACCAATAAAAAATAACTGCAAGAAAACAAAAAAGAAAAAGAAATAAACAAATAAGCACAAAAGTAAGCGAGACCTCTGCGTAGAGATCTAAATGAGCAAACTTTACCAATTAATTATACCTACGAAATTTTTTAAAGAATCTTCCATTTTTGCAACATGCACAATCAATATCGGTTTTATTTTAACCCTTTCAATGGCCAATGGAGAAAGAATTTTATTGAAAACAAAGGGATTCAGT